ATTTATATATGAAAATTCAGGTATTAAGATTTTCTATCAGATCGTTCTTCATGACCGGCCGGGGTTTTGTATTTGTAGACTCTCTGGCTGCTATGTAGTTATCAAGGAATATTCTCAGCTTTTGCAATCCCCTTTTCTTTCTTTCCTTTCTGTATTTCTAATTGTAATCTGGCTTCTTTTGGGAAATTTGTTATTATCACGGAAACAAAAAAAATTTTGATTTGTCCCCGTTCCAATGCTTCTAGGCAGCGCATATGCTTTTCTTTATCCAAAATTTCGGAGATGGAAGTATTATTGAGTGCAGGCTTGAATTTTTTTAAAGGGCCACGTAGTGTTTGTTAATACAACTGGGACATCTCCGAATCGTTCCTTCAATATGGAAGAGGTTTCATCAAATTTTTATGGGAGAGCCTAAAGCCGGAAATAGATTTTTTCAATATTGGAAAGCCTTGAGTTTTTGTGGACAGAGGCTTCAAAGGGTTAAATTCTTTCCACTTTAATTTTTTCCCTTAATGAAGGTAGTTCCTTTTTGGAATTTTAATACTTGAATTTTTTTTTTTGCAAATCTCTTTTCATGAAATTTTTTTGAATTTGGAGTTCTTGGAAATGCATCAGTTGTTCCTGCATTTTTGTCTGCAGATCTATCACGTGGTCATTCTTGGGGCCCTTTTGTTCTTAAATTTTATATATGGAATGTCCCCTCGTTCCAATCTTTTTACCAGTAGTAGAAGATCTTCTGAGTGTTTGGGAACCCCTTAGCAATTCAAAAACTTTTTCACTATCTTTGGGAAATTTTTCAATTTCAGATTCATTGTCTTGTTTTGCTTCCAAGGCAATGGAAAGTTCTTTTATCGATTCTTCAATTTAAAAAAGTCCTTTAAACGTCTCAAGGAAGGTTGAATCGCCCCCAACCGGTTTGAAAACCCTTTTTTGGCTTCTGAAAAAAGAAATGTCTTACTTTTTTAAACCCTTTCCTTCAGGATAGATTTTTGTACCTTGTACAAAGTCCTTTCAAGTATGAGGTTGACATCTTCTTCTTTTCCGTGATAAATTCTTGATTTCCCGGCTCCAAATTTAGGGTTCCGGCACCAAACAATGTGATGAATCACAATTACAGGGAAAATTTTTTTTAAATTTTTTATGACGATTAAAAAAAAACAAATCCCCAAGGGTTAACAATCACAATACCACATTCTAAGATATCAGATGGTTTTGATATGTATTCACTATATACTTTTTTTTTTTTTCTAAATTTACACTTTTGGGGTTTGAGTTTCAGATTTATTTTTTAAACCTGGAAAAAAACTGCCCCCGGGGGAAAATTTTTTGTATGGGGCAGCATATCGCTTCCTAAAATGATAACATCATCTAAATATGCTAAGCATTCTTGCCATATTAATCCCCTTAAACTTGTTGGATAACCCACTAAAAGTGGCTGGGCTGTTAAAATAAACCGAAGGGTAATTAACATGTTCATACAAGCCATACTTAGTGCTGTTTTGCTTTTTTTGTTCATCTGTTAGTACCTGCCAAAAACCCCAAGCCATATTAGAGAAAAAAATATTTTTCCCCCCAAAGTGTCAATGCAATCTTGTATATTTGGTATAGGAAAAAAATTTTTTTTAACTTTGTTTTATAATCTATACAAAATCTCATTTTCCCATTTTTTTCTCATAATACAGGAGGAGAGGCCCACTCTAATTTTGAGGGTTGAATTATACCTTTTTTTTTAAACATTTGTTCAATATGTTTTTTTCTTCATTTTCAAACCCCATTTGGGGGTTCTACCAATTTTTTATTGGTCTTTCTCCACCAGTGTTAATTTTATGAATTATCTCCCCCCTTAAAAAGACCTAAATCAAAATCGTCTTTGGCAAAAACATTTGAAATATTTTTAACAAAAAGAAAACTTCATAATGGGGCCCCCCTTAGTTAGGTTAGTAATTGATCTATCATATAGGTCTTGTAACTGAGGTGGTAACTGAAAATCTTAAATTTTCTGACGATGGTTTAGAAATGGAGTATTTTTTGTCAATTTTATTGACAGATATTTGTTCGTCATCTTCCATATCAACCACTTCATCTATTTCCATTCCAAAACCCTAAATTTTTTTAAAATGACAAATCTATCTGTTGGATTTCTAAAAGGGAAAAGCTTGTATGCTCTGAATTAATCACAGAATTGGAGGCATAATACCCTTAGAAAAGTTTTTTCCTCTCAATACAAAGTTATCCTTCAAATGATCTGTCAAATTTTTTGGGGTAATTTAACTGTTTGAGGTGGTATAACTGTTCTTTTCTGTACAGAAATTCTGGAAACCCAACATCATTTTTAAACCCCCTGTTTTTAAACTTATGTTGGGACTGATGTTTGATCCAAAGTAAGAGTCAAGTTTTGCATATTGATAATGCTATTGTGTGCTTTTAAAAAATCAAGACCAAGTAAATGGCTGCAATCTCCCCAACCACCTTTCCCCCCGTTGTACTATTGGCCCCACTCTCAACTTAACCTTTTCTGCTATTTTGGCTTTGATGTTATGTTTACTTGCCTTTATTTAATTTTGGCTTGGGTTTTTCATAACAGTGACTTGTGCTGCAGTATCTATCACAGCATCAATTGTTCTGTTGTTTACAGTACAAGGGACATAAAGGATGTTTTTAATATATCATCTTTGTAAAGGTCAATTTCTTGTAATTTAAATTTTACTTAAGGACGAGGCCGTTTATGTGTCTGAATAGGTTGAAGAATGGCCTCACTCCAAACCTTTTTTGGGGTTTAAAGGCTTAGACTGGGGGGATGGGGACGTATTCCTACTCTGAAATGGTGACCTACTTCTACGATTAGGACAGTCTCTGGAAATCCTTTTTATTACACTTAAAAAAAGCCCTTTTCTTTTTGGGGTTTCTTGAAGGGGATCTAAGTCTTGACCCCCTCTCTGTTTGACCTGTAAATATATTTCTGATTTGAAGATTTTAAAAATTTTTTGAATACTTGGATGTTTGTTTTTTTTTCTTTAGTGTCATCTTCTAATCTTGTGACCCTTGACTTAATTTTTACATTTTTGTTTGTTCTGTGTATGGTGTTGATGTTTGTTTATTGAAAAGATACCCTAATCTTGTTAAATTTCTCTTTATCTTCCTCACTATCACTTTCTGAACTTTCAAACTTGACCCTTCTTGTTTAAATTTTTTTTTTCCTAAAATGAGCTTTTGGTATGTGATTGCACTTTTCATGTATTGTGTGGGGTGTCAGGGGGTCCGATTTTTGATAATGATGAGCTTGTTTAATTTTCAGCCTCTCAAAAATGCATTATTGCAACAGTTTGTCGATAGGCCTTTAGTTGTGTTTAGGTATCCGTCTGTGGTCATTTCCAAAACCTTATCCGCAAACTCGTCTCAAAAACCCCCGGGGGCCCTTTTTTTATCGAATTTTTGTATTATATGAGGCAGGTCTTTCTTGCCAAATCTCTCATTTATTTTTGCACTCAGTTTCTTGAAGCTTCTTTGATCTAAATTGGGCTGGAACTGAAGATTTTAAGGCCTTGTCTCGAAGACTCTCAAAAAGTTTTTATTTTTTTCATCAGACCATTTGTATCTGGAGCAATATGGGAAAAATGTGTAAAGAAGGGTTCCGTCGGCCCCTTTTTCCCTCAAAAGGGGGACATTTTTTGGGGGATTTGGGCCCCTTTTGGGTCATTTGGTGTCAGGGTTCGCAAATGAAGTCTTTTTGAATTTTCCCGTGGTGCTAACTTGCCTCCCCTATTTTTTCAACTTCAAGTTGCTTAAATTTTTTTATTAAAGTTGAAAATTTCCTACCCCTCTGCTGTCTTGCTGAAAATTTTTGTTCTAATGTCGCAATTTCTTCATTTTTTGCCCCATTTTTTTTAATTGTGTTTTGTAGTTTGCTTTTGTGTTTGCGGGTTTTTTTAGATTTTTATTTGGGTTTTTCATTTGTTGTTCATGTTCTGATCTCGATGTATTTTTAAATCTTCTAATTGCTGTTGTCTAGAAGTGATGTCTTTTTTCTGACTGAACAATTTGTATGTTTTTTCTTTTATTGTGAGCCATATCTGATTGTAATTTTGCAATTTCGTTTTAAAAAATCTTCAATTTTGGGGTGCTGTGTTTTTTTCTGATTGTGTGTCTCTCAGACTCTCTCCAAAAACAGTCACCTCACTCACAAGGGGGACCCATATTGTGCCCCCCCACCTCGGGGGGTTAAAAATTTTTTGGGTGGGTACTAAGGGAAAAATTTCTACTTCTGTGAAAAATTGGTGATGGTACCATCTCTATTTTTTGATATACCCAGTTTTTTGCCCCCTATCAAAAAATACTATACGAATAAAAATCGGGCTCGGGGACAGAAAATACTACTTTTCACGAAGTAGTAACTGTCCCCTTATATTTTTCCCAAAAATTTCAGACCAAGGGGTAGGGGAAATTTGAAAAAAGGTCTAACGGACATGTTCGTATAGAAATTCACATGACATACATAGCTGCATGCACAAAACAATGGAAATAAAACATCAATATATTGTATCAGAAAAATTTTTTTTTGTTATTGCTGAAATGCAGGTAACAAAATCCTATGATAATCAGCATGCACAAAATTTTTCTGGTTAAGTGTGACCTCTAGCTTCGCACCTAGGAAATATTGATCCTTAGTAGTGCCTGACGCCGTGACGTCAGGCAATAATTAAACGGTAACCTCTACCCCACTAAATTCGTAAATCCACCACAATACTAATCGAAAGTTAAACTTCAAGTGGTATTTTAATGAGCCAAGATAGAGAAAGAACGCAATAATTTAAGCAGAAAATAATAAAGAAAATATAACTGATCCGGGGTTAGTTAAATCTGCCTCTAATATATTTACGGTGGAGGGAATTGCGGGATTTGGGCATAAATGAATTCTTTTAGAGAAAAGTCGAATAAAAGTTGAGCATAAATTATGTAATATTTATAAACCAACAGGTCAACTTTATCTTTTAGGGAGGAAGATGGCGACTTCATCTTCTTGGGCACAGGATGTGATCACGTGTGATCTTTGTGACAACCCCACCCAGCAGTTCTGTAACAGCTGTGGGTCAGTTTGTGTGGGGGTTGTATTCTAATAAAACTGTAGAAAGTCTGAAGTCTCAAACACATGACATTGTTCCTTTTAAAGACAGAAGAGAAAGGCTCGTATTCTCCTCATGTGCTTCTCATCCCAACCAGAAATGCGAGGGACATTGTCAACAGTGTGATGTCCCCGTCTGCTTCAGATGTCTCACGGGTCCCCACAGGCCCCATACCATCATAGATATGTCAGAAGTGGTACAACAGATGAAAGAAGAAATCAAGAAAGAAACAGAGGAAATTGAGTCGTTTATTTCAAGATTCGCACTAAGTGGAGCTAATATTGATCTAAAGATATCTAAAATGACTGAAAAATTTGAAACAATGGAGAGAGAGGGAGAAAATCTGAGAAAATCCTGGCATGAAGAAGTAGACAACATTTTCGACACACTACAATCAACAATTAGGAAAATGAAGGATGGAAGACTCACAGCTCTCAGATCACACCAGTCCAGGCTTCATGATTCGGGACAAAATTAGCAAGGATAACAAAGGAAAACAAGAAAATCCTTAAGTCTAATAAAGTGTCTGATGTTACAAGCTACAAATCAGAACTTACGGATTTCAGAGACATTCCTACAGATGTTGATGTGAAGATTCCTTCCCTAAATAGCAACACAGTCCAGGGGAGAGAACTCAGCATAGAATTAGGAGAATACAAGGCTACACTGACACAGACATCTATATCCAGTCTGACAGATGAAGTATCCATTTTATCCGTGAGAAAACTATTGGACAAAGCTAAAGTTATTGCTACCATTCCTTCTAGAATAAAGTCATTACGTCATATTATCTGTACCAGAAACAATGAAGCTTGGGCTTGTAGTGGAGATAGATTCATAAGACGTATTGACATACGTGGTTCTATAAAGGAGAAGATCGCCACCAAGTGTAAACCCTCTCCAAATGAAATTTCAGTGACCAGGAAAGGAGAACTGATATACAGTGATCATGACAGCAGAACAGTGAACATCGTCAGACAGGGGAAGATAGAGACACTAATCACTCTACCTCGGGGGTGGCATCCTGATGGACTGTGTTGTACCAGATCAGGGGACATACTAGTTAGTATGTACACTACCGTAAAAGTCATTACAAAATAGTCCGATTTCAGGGACAAACAGCAATACAAGAAATAGATAAAGATGCCCGTGGACAAAATATATTTGAAGGTGGGCAACCAGGGGTCTTGGTGGACGAGAATAACAACGGAGACATATGCGCCTCTGATTTTGATACCAGTACAGTGATAGTAATGGACAAGACAGGAAGAGTTCGATTCCGTTACGATGGTACACCAACCAGGAGGAAGAAATCGATTTGGTCCTGCGTACATTAAGACAGATTCATTGAGTCAGATTATTTTAATTGATATTATTAATGACTGTCTTCATGCTTTAGATGAGAATGGACAGTTTTTAAGATGCATTAGCAATTGTGGACTTCGGAATCTTGGTGGACTGAGTGTGGACAGTGAGGGGAGGTTGTGGGTAGGGTGTTTTGATTCAGGTGATATTAAAGTCATCCAGTACATGGAGTAAAGGAATCACCCACTGTAATATGTGTATATATCCAAAAATGATCTTTTATACGAATGTCGGCAGGCTAATTACCAAAAGCTTTAAATGTTTTAGCTGCAGAACTGTAGCTCTCCGAAAAATATATTGACAGACCAGAGAGCTGCAGTGCCACCCAGTGAAAAAAAACTGTATATTTAATGCGCACAAAAAGTGCGCTGTTTCTCGATTTATTTCTCCATGTTTTTCAAACTGTCATCTCAAAATAATACTAACAGTATATTCGTAACATATTTTTTCACTGTTTCTACAACAAAAAATTTCTTATATATTATTGTTATTAGCCCTCCTGGCCCTGAAATTGAGATCATCGAAAATTTCGTCTATTTGTACTGCCATTTTTGTTTGCAAGATAATTTGGTCTAACATTCTTTGTTCAGATGTCATTTACGAGAGTACTAAAATTAATATAACCAGAAGTCTCTGTCGAGACTGTAGCTCTACTGGTTTGTACTTATAACATATGATGAGAAAGAAGCCATTGCCACCAGACCAAAACTGTAGAAGGAGTAGCGTTTTAAAGGAATTTCACAGACATTTTTATTTTTAGTAACAATGGCAACACCGTTCATCGAAATCAAAAACCCATGCACTATTTTATCTTAGTGTAGTATACTTGTGTGCAAAGGTATATTGAAATCAGACCAAAATTGTAGGAGGAGTAGCTTTTTAAAGGAATTTTTACAGAAAATTCTATTTTTAGTAACCATGGCAACACTGTTCATCGAAATCAAAAACCGGTCTGTCAATATATTTTTCGGAGAGCTACAGTTCTGCAGCTATAAATGTATAAAATCAAATTTAATTTATGAACTAAGGATTAAGAGCAAAGGTCTCGTTATTAAACGATATTAAATTATACAAAGGAAAGTTTCCTCTCTACAAACTATGCTATGGTAAAAAAAAATTGCAGATTTCTCATGGATTAAACCTACACCATGGTAATCTTGAGTATCATTTTTTAAAGAATCTTGATAAAAATGTTTACTACTGTAGAAGTCATTTTTTCCGTGTGGTATTAATTTACGCTATGTACGTGGTCACAAATTTTCCGCGGAAATTTGTCCAAGCGTACTTAATATAAATGTAAGGCATATAGTGACAATCTAGAAAATCCGCGTAATTTTCTACCCGTGGATTAAACAGAAATTGAGATTCCGCGGAATTATGACCCCGTGGAAAAAAGTACGTCTACAGTATTGAAACAATGGAAATATACTTATAGTCAATAGAAACGCAACACACTTATTTTAGGGTGGAAATTATATATGGGTTATAACTATGTACCAAAAAAGTTAGGAAATCTTAAACTTTGCCAAATCAGTTATTTAACGGTTACATGAAGGATTTGGAGATAACGAACATTATTATATAGTTTATTCATAGTCCCTCTATAATCTATACAAACGCAAAGAGTTCATAACGCTACATATTCACCGGATTTTAGGCCGTATTCACCGGAGGGTCAATGCGCGTGCCACGGCATTGTGACTTCACAAAAAAAAACATCAAACAACGTTGTAATCAATGGTTGCAACGGCCGCAGCGAGCTACGTATCTGAACAGAATAACAATTATTCAAACCTATTTCAGGATCATTTTTTAACATTTGGACGTCTTACACATAGCAAAAGGAAAACGTATTCTGGAAATTTTTTTAATTTTCAACAATGAAAGATCGAAAATAAAAATGGTGTCGTCATACAGCCTTCAATGTTATTTATTCAAATCCCGACTATATAATAAAACAATTATATACTTTATAGGCGGAAGCCGCCTATTGCAAGAAGCCGCCTATTGCATTTGCCTTGATGACCTTTTTACCTCTCGAGATGTGAAAGGTCAATTTTGCCCTCTGACATGGTACTCCAAACGGATGTATCTTAAACTATGGGCATACAACCGTTACTCGTATTCGACACCCTTTCCAATCTTTATCGTTATTATCATATCAAAAGCGTGTGTTATGGCTGAATTTATTTTAACAATTTATTTTGATTTATGAAAAAAAGTCCAATGAAATAATAGCCTAATAATAGAACTAATAGTTACTTTAGTACTCCTGATACATTTCACGCTTGAGAGAAGAACGAACGACAGCTCTGTATGTTTAAAACAAAAACAAATGGGGTTCAACATCACGGGGTCCTGAAGCGATGTTTAGAAATATTACGAGGGACAAAATAGTTCAAGTAGGTATAATTATATTTAAGAATTAAAGACAGGTACATGTACACAGCTACAGAAGAACTAATCTTTTAAATAATCTATTGGATAATAGAAGAAAAGAGGTATGTAGTTCCTTTTATCAATTGTTTATTTATATTTATGTACTACTTTCGCGTAATAGTCTAACATGAGACGATTCAGCGTGAAATTATTGTCAACAAACCCACGTGGAGTACAAATGATTTACAATGGAAGTGACAGGCTTCTCTTCAACATTAGCAAGGTAACTTACGTTGTCTGATTAGCTTATCTTTCATTGTAACCTTTATCTTTATTGTTTTAACTTGAAAATGTCGCCTCCCTATGCAGACATGCTTTAATTAGATATCGTAACATGATACCTGTTTTGGTCGGTCTTGATCGAACGAACTGATACTGTATCTGCAAATAATTTCATGCATGCCTGGAAGAAATTATTTGAGGAATTATCATGCCCAGTCTATGTATACATTTATATATCCTGCATTTAATGTAAATATGTTGAAGGATGGACCAAAGCTATGAAAACTGGACAGTCTCAAAGACACAATTTTAGTCAGTATAGATGTGTCCCTATGGAGGCAGCTAACAAAGAGCAGGATAATTAACATTGCATGGTGAACATGTAGAAATTTCGCTCTGTGTCATCTCTAAATAAGAAAAACTCAATTCAGCACAACCGCAGTCAGATACACTATTCTCATGATTCTGTCAGAAGGTGAGTACATGTATATTTCAAGTGGGAAAAGTGTCATAAATTATGATACATATATGTTTGATAGCATAATGAATGTTCTTGTTATAATGACAGATATGAACCGAATATTTTTTGAAAGTATAATTTAATATTTTCTATTTTTGTTAAATTGATTTATTTTCTTTTTAATTTTTCAAATACACCAAAGTAACTTTTATCAGTCTATGTCCTGTATATCTTATATACATTTAATCTGTTTTCTTGCAAATGCATGATTACGAACAATAGTAGGCTTTTGAGAGAGAGATCAGATAGAGAGAGAGAAATACTGGAAAATATTAGGGAAGTCAAATCGATCAAATCATTTGATAATTAATGATCGCTTTCTCCGGTTGAATACTCGGTTACTAACGGTAAAATGTAGATAAAAGATTGTTCTTGAGCCTAGTTAATCTCTATTAACCCACAAAAATGTACAAATAAACAATGATTCGATTGGAAATTATTTTTTAGTACTTAAGTTATCTATCAAATAAAAAGCAAAAAAAAATTATGCACAATTGGTACACCAAAAATTACAAAAGGTTGTTTTGGATCTATTTGATCAACGCAAAAGGGAGGACAAACTGTTGTGCAGGTTTGTTTATTAAACTAGCGAAACTTCAAAAATAAGATATGGATGTTGAAGGGATTGCATGCTCATAGTCTTATAATAATTCATTTATTGGTTGTTTCCAGTTTATACACTAAAGTTAATTAGCAAATTGACTTTCATCTGTTTTGAATCTTTAGTTATTTATTTACTGTTGAAGTGGGTAGCGGCATTTCTATGCATGTCATATTTCACTGCTGTGTACTGCAAATACTTCAATCATTGTGATGTATACTTTAAACAATCGTTGAAGTCACTCATGCAAAAATTAAGGACCACAATAGTTGAGAACGACTATGTGCCTGCTAATTGGTCAGTAATTGCTGTATATTCACAGCTACATGTAGAGGTGATAAGGGGTGTTTTACAGCTAGGTGTAGATGAAAACATGCTAATTACTGTTTGCATATTTAAGTAAATATTGATAAGTTTTGATAAAAATATTTACTTTGAAAAAAGAAATTATTTAATATACATCCGAGTAACCGAGTATCCATTTTTAGTATTCAATACTTGGACGTTGGATCGAGTACACGGTTAATTTGACGTCCCTAGAAAGTATATTAAATATATCATAAAGACTATTTGAAGTCCTTGATTTCATTTATTGAAAGTCGGATAAGTTGTAAAGGAATATTTGCTAAATATAATTATGAGATATTCTTTATTTTTTTCACTTATTCACTTTGTAGAAAATTCTAACAAGAGACAGCTGTCAGGAGAATGGTGGAGACAATCTCCAGAAAAGAAAACGCTACTGATATTAGGATGCATGTACCAATATTTTACGATCCCGAAAGACAAATTTACCACAGGAATAAAAAAAAATATTGTCTGGCTTTCAAGGGCCTGCTATGGTAGGAGCTCTCCTGAAAAAATATCCAATGGATTTATTGTGGACATAATGACACAGGGCTCACCTGTCATCAGCATTAAAGACTTGTGATTTGTTCTACCTGGGCCATACGTGTATTGAATCAAGACATTTTATAGAATCACAAGCACATTGTAAATCTATGTAAGGTCTTCTATGTATGTTGCATCCTTATTTGATTTGCAACTTAACAAGACTTCGTTTCATTTGTACTATGTCAACTTAATATACAGAAAAAAAAACAATAGCAGTTGTGATGTTTATTGTTTTCTATTACTCATTAGTACTCATTTTTGTGTGAAATTTAATAATTATCCATTTCTTGTTCCCAAAAACCATATCTTACAAATTTAATGTATAATTGCAACTTGCATTTCAATTTTATCTTGTTATACTTTACAAAAAATAAATGTTAAAATGATCATATTGCTATTGACTTCATCTATTCTCATCTCTCCGCTTCAAAAGGGAAACATATTGTTAATTCTTGTTCCTTAGATTCAATCCTTCAAAATATTTATTAACACCCCCCCCCCCCCATAAGATAGATATTATACTTCAAATATGTGCCTTTAAAGTTTTGCACATGAGGACTTGCAATCATGCTTCCGCCTATCAGTACTTTCAGTACTTTGATTTGGTGTTGAATATGGTTTGTTATTCACCAGGAAAATATCCATATTGACCTCGGCTTCGCCTTGGTAAATCTCAAATATATTTTCAGTGATTGCGAATAAAATCACCTGCTATGCATTTTCAAATTCACATTTGATCAATTAACACATTTTAAAAATAAAAATCATAGGTATCCAGGCTTTTATAGAAATTCCACAATTTTTATACATATAATGTACTTTAATTTCTTTTATTTTCCTCGATCATTTTACGATGCAAAGTGTATAAAGATTCTCCTGACATTGCAAATCACCATAAATCACTTCTAATTTCATATCATATTAATAAACATTGGTATCTATGGTTAGATTAAAATGAACATCAATTTCTTGATATATGTAATTCTAAAATACTTTTACAGGGTAAAATTTTTTTTATTATACTTTTCTGAGAACTTCAAAGAGCCTTGACGCGCATTTACAGGTATATAATGAAAATTATTGCATGAAAAGATTTAATTTTCAAACCTCGTTTTGAGACTTAAATTATGAATTTTAAAAATTAAAGAGTTTTCCTTCCTAGCTGAGGATATGAGTCCCTTAATATTGTTTTATACGCCATGTATTTATGTATGTGTATATACCGTAAATCTGGGAAATTTTTACTGGAGATAAATTTTTAGCAAATTTGCGCGTGTATTTGAATTCGCATAAATATTTTTCTTAAAAATAAATCATTATGTAAAGAATTTTTTTTCCTGAAAGCTGGTGTCTATTTTTAACTCAGTGAATAAGCGTGGGTCAGCACTGGTCATTTTTAAAAAGAAACCTGAGTGTTTATACTACAGTAACTGTAACTACATGTACAAGCTAATTACCCATGCGTGTAAATTGCCCTCATTATAGGCAATATCGTCTGATGTTATGTCGCTTTTTAATTATTTTGCCAAGAAAGAGAGACCAGTTATTTTATCTAACCACGTATCAACACGGGCGATAACTCAAACTCAGTACATTTACTAGAGTGTTCCATATGTAAACACAGCGTGTAAATTTTAGGTGAGAAAAAACCAAACGTTTAGAAAATTAGTTATATTTTTGTCATTATTTGGATTATATTTTAGGTTGAAAGGCAAACACAACCTCTAAAAGGTTTGTTGTAATTCATTTAGAAGTCATTTCATTGCAAATACTTTTGTATTTTTATATTCAAAATTGTTTCGGAGCGATTCTGCAATTTCTTGCCGCGTTGCGACTATATTGTTGGTATTCTAACTGTGCATACTATGTTTGCACATATGTGAACCTGAACATGTGTTTTTAATTTGCATGCTAATTTATGTTTTTAATTTTTTCTTGTGATTTTTAATTGTGATAGTCGGTTTAAGAGCTCTACAGTGCTCACGTTTCTTGTTATGCTATTGTATAAAATGCCGATTTCATATAAAAAAAATATTTCTTACTTTCCAGATTTTTGGTTGTAATATAGTCTTAAAGACTCTTATAGGAAATTACTTCACATTACAAAAATACGAAAAAAGAAAAGTAAATGCAATTTTCATCAGCAAATTAACATGCCCTTTTTCTTCATTTATTTCCCAAAAAATAGTCGTTAATTTAAGATGGATAATTTCAAGATAGCGGGGTTACTTTCAAATTCTTTAAATTAACTTAAAACGAGCTTCCATGGCCTTCATTTCCTGGACCTCATCAGTCATTTGTCCTGGATTTACCTGGGATCCCAATGGATCCCTCTTAGGATCCCCAGCCTCTGGATTTTATTATCGCATCTGAATTTAGAAGATCCATCCTTGTCCCTGAAGTGTTATTGATTGCTTGAAAATTTATGATTCGCAAAGTACAAAATGTATTCAGCAAATTTTAAAAACTCATTTTAATCCCATGAAATGTTTCTCCTCATGTACACACCATAAGTGTCCGAAGATTAGGCGCTCTCCATGTCATTCTGTAAATGACAAAGAAAAGTACATATAGGTCTATCCTTCCATACTTGAAATTAAAATGTTGATTTTAAATTATAGAGTGGTAGACCTATATATTCTTAATCTTAATCGAGGATGGTATCCACATGGACTGCGTTGTATAAGACCTGGAGACGTACTAGATACTTTGTGTGAACTCTTTATGAGAGTTATTACAAAATAGTGAGATCTCAGGAACAATAAGTACAGGTAAATAGTATCAGAGGGGGAGGGGGGGGGGGGGTTCAGGGGACCTAAACACCATACTTTTTCTCCCCTGATCTGGTACAGTAATTTTACATTTTAAAATATTTATATCAAAAGAATGTTCCCTTTTGTTGTAGCATAAATAAATCATCAACATGCGGAATTGAATTAAAATAATATTGATTGTGAAAGAAAGTTAAGCCCCGCAGTAGCTGCTGGCACAAAAAAAGATCCCTCCCTGCTCAATGGCGCTGACTGTGCCACGCTAAGTACAGGGCAAAAACTGCAGCTCTTCATCGGCAAGTGGTGGCGTCTCCATGTGAGTGTAAAATTCTTGAGAGGGACGTTAAACAAGATGCAAACATATTCCTTCTCGGCACCAAATCCCACTATTGTTTCCAGAATAATGCTCTGTGGATGTGACAGCCAGAGTCTGATTTCAATAAAAAGGTACTACCGTCAAGATCATCACAGGACACAGTTACAGGGTTTTGAAGTCGCATCATTTGATGTGATATTAATAATAATTGTCTTCATATTTTAAATCAGAACTGACAGTTGTTGTGTTGAGAAGTGTAGTTGTTTGAGATATTTTGGGTCGAGTTTGAGACAGAGTGGAGAGGTTATGGATAGGGTAATCTCAGATAAAAGAAAAATACATTACAGTACATGTATATATGTGTTACTTTTTGAAGAATTCGTATTGCCTACAGCTTTAAATGTTAGAAAGATCAAATTTTATTACTGAACTCAGTATTGAGAATCTAGAACAAAGTCCTTAAAATTAAAAGAAGGTTTGGAATACATCAATGGAAAATTAATTTTCTCTTCATAAATTATTCCAAAAAAAAAAGAAAAGTATTGAAAATTCCTTATGGATTGAACCCAAGCCATTAAATTGTTGAGAGGTAAGGGTTTTTAGAGGCTGTAAGGGGAAGAAGTATTTGAATCAGAATTGTATATCTGATAAGCATAATTGGCGTAAAAGTGTGTGTTGAATGGAAAACTAAATATCTATTCAGAATTATTCGATTATTCATATTTAAACGTGACTATATCTAAGTAATATAAGAATAACTTCTATAGCAACTAAAGCAAAGTTTTAAACAATTGCAAAAGGGAATCCCCTCCTTTCGAAATACTTCTGCGGACACACAGTCTGATTTCAATATAACGGTACTTCATTTAAGATCATCCCAGCACACAGTTACGACTCATTGATTCAAATCATATAAACAATGAATAGAATATCAAACGAAATTATATCGTATAACTTTGATTGGGACAGTTTACACTTAATTTGTTCTACGGTGCGACCGTTGGGGCGAGCGCAGTTATTTACTATCAAAAACCTTTACAAAGCTTTTACTTGCACAGCCTATCCTCAGTTCATTGAAAAAAGGAGAAAAGAATGAAAAGAAATCACTTCCCAGGCACCGGATCGAGATTCCAAAATTTCGGAAGTTTCCGACAAAATCGGAAATACCTGAGCCGTTTCTGTGACGAAAGTGTGACGTCAAATAAAAAGACCTGTTGACTATGAAAGCAAACAATAGTTTTGTGGCATGGAGATTGCATTAAATCGCTGTTTGTAATTTTTTTCAAGTACGCTGTTGCTATGTTTCAGCCACTATGTTGCTATGCATCGCAAAGGAATATTGGGAGTTTGGAATTTTTTCACGCGTTGAGATAAAAATTTCTTGGAACTTATGTGCAGATTACAACCTGAATTTCCTCCGTTCGTATACGTAAGTCTATTGAGCTCGCTACGCAAGCGGCGCTTGGCGCCGCCTCGCTGCGCTCGCTATAATTTATATGAAAAAAGTAAACTGCTCGAATTCATGTTATAGCAGTATAATTTGGTTTCTATATAATTCATTCCTTATAGTTTAATTTTCAATTATTAAGTATATAAAACAAAACGATTTCTACCTTAAATAGCCTTCAAATTGTTCATATTTTAAACGCAACGTCAAGCAGCTTGATGGTTTTTATACCCGCACTTTCTAAAGAAAGTTCGGGTATATTGTTGTTACTCATGTCCGTCCGTCCGTCCGTCTGTCACACTTTTCTTCCCTGAACTCCTCCTACATTTTACACAGTAGCTTAATCATCTTTTAAGAGATGGTTGGTGGTGTCAT